ACATCAAGGTGTGAAATAATGATGTGGGTGAGAAAGTGACCCAAAAAAAGAGATTATACCCCAATCTTTATCAATTGGATTTCCCCTGTGTTCCATTTTAGTTCTAAAATCTTGTTATTCACGCGGCACAAAGAGTATTTTGTTTTTGCAAATGCTTTAATGAAGCACGAGTTGCTCGCTTTCGTATTTGTATATGTTTTAATTTGGAGTGACGTGCGAGGCTAATGTAAACACTTGGTGCGGTTCATAATCCTTCCTTCACAATACGAAGCTTTTACAGGTCCATTATGTCACTTAAAAAATGTGACGGGTTTGATGATAAGCTAAAATCCGATCCTCAGCCTTTGTTACTTCCAGAAATGTTTCGATCGCAAGACAGATGCGCGAATGAAATATTGTAATACCAAACGGCAACGCGATTATTCGATACTCTTGTCTCGACTTTCTCACCTCCAAAGGAAATGTGTTCTGCGGTTTTCATTAGAGCGGCCTGAAGAATTGTGGGCTAGTCACGTCTGTTGATCATACTTCAATCTTGGCAAGAAATGTTCGATAAGACACAAAAAAGTTTCTTGAAAAAAGGCCCGGACAGATCGATTTTGCTTGAATAAAAATATATTGGGAAATGGGTCAAAACAGGCCTTTTGGAGTCCACCCCCTAACTACCCCTGGGAATACTTTTGACGGAAATACCTGCGACTTTACGTGGTGGTTTTTCAAGGAAGACAATGCTTTACTTGATGTGGTTAACATTCCAGGAAGCAAAATTAATTTACAATCCATCACCGCTAAAAATTTTGACAGCCGAAATAATATTACGTCCCGGTCTTATAATTTATCGCCAGCTTACTGGTAATTTTCTATCTTCGGGAAAACCGGTTCGGTTGTCTTTTCAGCACATGCGGTGCTGAACTGGTTAAAAAAAGTCTTTCGTTCAATTTACGAACATTTTTTCTTAATACCGAGTGACGCAAATACCTCGCCAGATGAACTACAGAAAACATATCCGCGGGAAGAACAGAACTGAAACATTTCTCCTTTTACTGTACTAGCAGCAGAGGAAATGTCATAATCTCAGTCTTTCATTAACGAACTTGTTTCTAATCGCGATCAGCATTGTTCAAAGAGATATTTCTTTGCCTAGGAATCTATCTCAACGTAGCAGTTTAAGATGTTACTGTTGGAACTCATGTAAAAGGTATCATGGTGGCCTTACATCGTTCGGTTCGAGTTTTTAATGTAAAAGATACTTATTTTAGGATAGCTGTTTTGATGTAACCATAAAATAATCTTTTAGCATTCCTGAAATAATAGAACTGAGGGCTGTGCAGGGAAATTTACACCATAAGTCATGCATAAGTTAATCAAGGAATAAGAGCCGATAGAAGGATGTAGCACTTCTGGTTTCAAATCTTGAAAATAGAAATGATCGAGGAGGATACGAACATAACATGAAGCGTTATATTTTAAATAATATTTTTTTATTATTATTAATATTATTGTGTTTTGTGAAATTATCTAGTAACTAAACTCACATTGACAAAAAAAGGCAGAACAACACCACTGAGGACTTCACTGCCATTAGTTACAACTTTACAATCACTTAGCTGTCTCTTGATTCTTATTTTGTCAGTCTTTAAGCTACTAAAAACAGCCTTTCATTGTTACATTGAGTTTATCCCAAACTACAGCAGTCCCTCGAGTCCAACTTTTCTGAACCCATTTCATCCTTTCTCGGAGGTCGTGTTCTCCAATGAATTATACAATTGCAAGACTTCTTTCCCTTCGAGAACATGTATCTACCTTTCCTGTATCACAAGAGACGATCAAGAAGCGACCTCAAGATAGTTACTGAAATTCTTTAGGGTTTCCTTCCTCTATCGCGGTTATACCGTTTGAATTTGGGCGTATCAAGAAAAGAATTGATTTTCACATGAGAAATACCGCAAGTGAAGTAGTTGCTATTTTGGTCAGACTATAAACTTGCGCCGAAATATTTTCAATCAGCGGCATTTTACATGAAAAGAAGGACTAGGTCCTGGTGAGTTGTTAATTTTGGAATTATTATATGTTATGATGATTTTCGGATACTACGTGCTGACAGGTTTTCGCAAAGGCGCCTTTGGCTCCTAAGAGTGACTGGCATCAAGTTTCTCTTTACCATATCGCCCCTGAAACAAACATTAAGGTCAGGAGTATAAAGGAACTGAACACCAACTTCAGAAGCTCTTGATTGTTAGACAAATTCTCCTTGTCGGCACCTTAGGAAATATTTAGAGAACAGTATGGAGAGTGTGCATACTGATGTTAGGGTGTAAAGGGTTTAATTGTAGGCCTCCTCCAAAAACCTTCATCTGAAGTATTTTAAGGATTATGTCTCTCCTTATGAAGCCTTCTTAATGTTTATTTTGAAGAGTGGCTTAAAATGGTTGAAACTCTATTCCTCAACACCTGATATGTTCTCGTTAATTAAAAAGTCGACATATTTACGGCTCCGGCAAGTCCGATCAGTTATGAAAGGAGATCTTTATCAAACAGTATAGGGATACATGAATGAAGAGAACAGTTAAACTATCAAGACATCTTTCTCTCTGAGACAACAGATTGATTTTCAGTCGAAGGCTTAGCGATAAGCACAACTTAGTGTGCGAGAAATCTAAGTTATGGCTATCTGAACGATCAAAGTTATAGTTTTCTATTAAAATATATTTTAAGTAAAAATTCTACAGGATCAAAAGAAGGGCGAACTGATTACTTAAGACGCTCTAATAGAGATCGTGACACTGCGCTTTAGAAGAGGTTGTGCTCGACTTTTAAATCGCAGCAAAAACTGAAATAGAATCAAACGATAATTTTATTAGTGAAAGGGGTTTATAAAATTACAAATGTCACGTATTTTATCTTTACCGAAACAGCTACTTCACAGTACAAATTCAATTAAGGGCATGGTGCATTGAGGTTGGTACATTGGGTCTTACATTATTGACTTGCGAAATCTAGTAAACAAACCGACAAATGGTTGCATGAATTTCTGTAGCTAATTAGTGTACAGTTGTACAGAGGGAAAGCTGGAATTGAGGCCAGAAACTTACTCTGATACCTCACAAAAATTAACTGTAGAGGTAACAAGTAAGCTAGCTTTTGAAAGTTGGATTCGAAGAAAACAAACTTTTGGGGAATTGTGAATAACCAGTCGAAAAACTTGTAGGGGAAAACGACTCTGTTCTGATGTTGTCTTCATGATAATTTTTGTCTGATTAATATGTTACGGCAGGTGTTATCTAATGAACCACGCTGTTAAGCTTTATTGTTTCCCAGTATGTCTGAGGTTGTGAGTTATTTTCTAAAGCCTTTTTTCGGTTCAGCTACGAGGGAACCAAAACTAAGTAAATTTTAATTACAGTGTATCTGCCTTTTCACAAACAAATTCCATCGACAAGTCAATGGTCGCGCACATTTTTATGCATACATAACCAATTCAGTTAGTGGTTTATCTTGGACTATTCCTCTGTTGAACAAAACGTACCAATGAGAAATTTGCTCAGTTGAATGAAAATCGCCGAGCTGTTCGGCCGCGGTTGTTAACCTCTCGTTTCAAAGTGGGAGATCTAGCAATAGGTATGTAACCCCCATTGTTGATGTGTGACAGGAGATGCTGGCAGTTTTGTTCCTCTACCTTTACCTGATGCAGTTCTTAGGCTATGCTAGTGCTTCATACAGAAGTTCGGAGAAAAAAAATTATTTCTGTATCGATTTCCCGGATAGATTTAAGATAAAACGACGATTTTCTCAATTAGGAGACTGACAACCTTCGGTTCTAAGATAATAGAAGATTGGAATGCGGTTCATCGAGAAAGCAAACACCATGGTTTAGTCGTGCTTCGTGTTAGGGTTACAGATAGAGTAAAACGATCTAATAAACTTATTGAATTAAACATCAAAGTTCCCCTCGATTTTGAAGACAGGTGAAAATTTTCTCAATGCAAAGACTAAGTCAAGAAGATGCTTTGCAGTTGACTTTCACTTGTGTCGGGATATCACTCGAAAATGAGAGAACCTTAACACAGCGTAAAGGACGTTTTCTGTGAAAGCAACTTGAGGAATACTTTTAACTTAATCAAAGACTGGTAGAAACAAACGGGCGAGTGCACGTTTTATGATATTACGTGGGAAAACTAAGCAGTGGTTAAAGCTCTATGAAGGCTAAGCTTGCAGGATCTCCTTACCCCTCAGTTGCTTCAATTATCGCTTAATAAATGGGCCTAGGGAATCTTAGCACAAAAGAGAGCAAAGATTCATCTTTGCAAACGTTAGTTTTACCAATGAAACTCTTACTCAGATACCGTCTTTGTAGAAGCCATTTAGAAGCGGCGTTTTAGTTTTGTAGTGCGTTAAATAGAAGTCTGCCATTTAATTCAGTACTTTGAAAAGTGTGCCTGTTGCCAGGAAGATCGCCCAAGTTGTTCTGAGGCCCCTGGAGAGTAAATTTCAAGGTTAGATTTTAAAACAAGATCAATGCACCTTTATGGTTGCAGTAATTCTTAGCAAAATTACTATTGCAATTGTCATACAATTCAATTTGGACTCAAACCGATTGAAAGTAGCCAAGTTATAGAACGATTTTTCAATTCGCGATAAGCGATCGTTTCGACTTTGAATATAATCGAATGTAATCGATTAATTAGCACAACTTAATAGAAATATATAACAACTAAACCGTAAGAATTTACTCGGAAATATCATAACGTAGCGGTTTTTTTTTCAAGTTCTCGACGCCAATATCATGATCGCAAACCATACAGCATGTCAAAGGCGCGTGTAATACAGTGATTCCTTAAGTAGCTAGTGCCTTGGTCTGTGTGGCATGCCCCCGCTAATAGATTTAAGCTTCCGAACATGGAATAGAATAGATTCAATCGATTACTTCCTTCCATTAAAGTGTGAAAGTTGTTAATAGACCATCCGTGGAATATTGTTTTGTTTGATGAAGGCGTACAATCTTAGGCAACTACATGTTGTTGGTTAGCCGAGTGGTTGACCAACGTCAGCTCTAAATAGCACTGAATACAACTCGTATAACAGACACCCTACCAAAAAAATTTATCATTGGTCTACGGTTCTCGCCTTTGAAGTTATTATCACCTGTTTGTAAGAACACTGTAATCCTAAAACAATTTGAGGATGCCCTATACTGGAGATTAACTGTGGAATGAAACCTCTTCGAAACAACCAGAGCAATGTAAAACTGCGTTAGTTATATGTTGTGTTTTACTTCGTATCTGCGAGTAAAAAATGTTCTTTGGAGCCGAATTTACAAGTTACTTTTTAGTTTGAGAAGTGAAACATTAAGTAGAATGTTGTGAAGACATTACAGCCAGAATTACAGCAAGTTTCTACGTTGCGAAAGGTTTAGCACTCTGAGGACAGTAAGACAGTATTCAACCGACTTTTGTTTGCTCAACTGTAGCTGAATGACTTTGGTGTAATTTTCAAGAAATGAACTGAAACTTATACTATGATGAAAGCCCTGAAATGCTCTGAAATACTGTTTTCCTTTAAGGGAAAACGAATCACTCCATCATGGTTCAGCACAAATCAATTTCACAGATCAGTTCGCCGTAACAATATACAAATATCAACAAGTTTGGTTTTGGCCTTGTTCACAAGGTAGAAATTTATTTAAGGCGAATCAAGAAAGATGTTTATCAGAGAAAAAGCATGCACATGCAACGCTCACCCAAATTGAAGACGCCACGAAACAAATGAAAGAAAGAGTGTCTGTTCTTTAGGGCGTTGCCACTCCTTTGTCTTCACCCGATCTTCCGTGCAGGCATCTGTTTCCATCATGCAGTTTAACTTTTTGTTTCTTAGCGCAAGAAAGTGCATCGTACTGATGGAGCTTCACGAGTGGGTTAAAAATTTTCCAAGCAGAACCTTGTTAGCAGGATTTCATCAGTTGTTATACCCGACAAACAATAATGATTAATGATCTGTTGCCATCTTGTTGCGTGGTGTCAATTTACAGTTACGCGTCAGGTCTGGATCTTGATATGTGTTTATCTTTCTGAGCGTCACGGACTCGAACGCAACTCAGTTTATTTTACTCTTGCAGCCTGAATCAATAACTTGAATTAAGTTTTTAAACTTTAATATTGTTTCTTGTGTGTGATAAATGTCCACTTGCTACTTTGCCTTCTCGGTTAACAAGGGACACCGCAATCCCATTATCTTATCTCTGAATCGCAAATTCTACGAATGCTTCAGGAACGGGACCCACTTATCACAGAGCACCGCCTTTATGCTGGACCTCAAATTGGCCATTTATGTGACAATCAAAACATAGATATGCTGTCTTTCCATCACCTTTGTCTTAATCAGGAAACGCGCCAGTCAGTGGCTGATTAGCGCAGATAGTTTCTGTCTGTTTAGCAGCACGCTACGATCCATATCGAGTTTCTTCTGCATGCGATTGGACAAGTGGAGCGATGGTTTAGACGATTTATCTCTCAGGTTCAATCGGTTTAATCACATCTTTAAATGCTATTTTGGATTGTTTCTAATGATGAGGTGAAAAATCCCTTAAACGGCCTCTTGAATTTCTCAAAGAGACACTTCATACAAAAAAAAAAAGCTCGGTTGAGTTTGGAATGATTTCCAAACGTGTAGAGGTTGTTATTAAAATGTGTACCAAATTGAAACCTCTGTGATGATACCCATGTAACAATGAATGGAGCTTTCGCTTTACCCCTTTTTTCCTCTCTTTCAAATGGACTTATTTACCCATAGTTACCAGATTATTTAGCTGTTATTTTTTCAGAACAAACAGTTCCTCCTCTCCTGTACCATTTGTTTGTTTTGAAGATTTTTTGACCCCTTTATCAATTTACAGAATGGTTAGTTTATTCAACTTGGAGGAATGTCAAGATGTTGAAAACATTTCTTTCTTCGTCTTTCCTGTAGCTATGATCGTTAAGATAAATGTATTTCTGGAACTTTTAAGTCATTGTTCGTTAAGCCTTCTCATTGGAGGTTGCGAAGACCTAATCATGAAAAAAAGTTGACCAAATTGCTCAGTAGAAAGAATGCGTTGCAATGTATGCGGAGTAAGTTTGAAGGATGCGGATTTCCGCGTGCGGAACCGTTTGACGCATTTAAAAACGGTGGGTTAACCCTACCGGTGCTAACGACCTCCTCACTTGAAAAGTGTTCAGAGGGTGAAACGGCAACAACCTTGCTAAGCAGCTAAATCTCACAAAATGTTTCTCGCGAAGATTTCTCTTATTCTATATGTTCTTGCAGCAGTTAAAGTTGGTAAGTGTTGTAGAATGGGCAAGCGATGGCCTGTAGTAAAAAAGGTGACCCATTGCGTGCCGCCTGAACACAAAGGGTAATTAATCATTTCTAGACAATTTTAGAGACACACGGGAAGGAATTGGTTTTTGTAGTGCCTATAGAGTTCTTCAACTAGGTGTTTAACAAGATTCAATGTAACGGCGCACTATTTGTAATCTGTTGGGCTGTATTCTAGAAGACAGGGTACTTGTCTCACAGTAGTTAACTATGTTAAGCTTATTATAGCTCTCTTTTCAGGGTGGCTCGTTAATTGGGCAAGGTCCAACTTTTATTCGGCTTGAAACTCTCACTTGAGGTTCATTGAATTGAACAGTTAAAAATGATTTGATTTTTCGTTTTTTCAATGTTGCAAAGTCACCATATTTCTACTCCTACAAATCTTTACTAAGGGAGGATAACATTCCATTGATGTGACTCACAAGTCAAACTTCTCTTGTGAAGAATTTCCTCACGTGTCAGTTTTTAGGGATGGCTCCATGTAATCCTCAATAGTTATTTCTTATTTCACCATCAAATAATAATATAAAGTGTACTACAAAGTCACTTGGGGTCCCCACAAGAAAGACCTTCAAATTTCGCTGAGCAAGTGTTCAAACTGAAAAAGATTTTTGGATGACAACAAATAGGAAATACCTCAGGAAATCAAACTTTAAAGATTGCTTGTCCATCCTATAATTAACCATTTTGTTTTTGTTGGTGGAAAGCATTACCTCATCGATAAAGCTTACCGGTCTGAACTGGAGTCTTCTAGAAATAGTATTACCGTAAAGTTACTTTGAAACGTGATAGTGTAAACACGTCAGCTCGAGGCCTTCCTACCTTTCGTTCCTCACTGTATTCATTTCTGTCTCTTTACAAGTCATGAACGCGCCGACTTTTGCAGTCATTTTTCTTTGTCTGCTTCTAAATCCAGTATCTAAAGCTTCACTTTTGCCATTTCTGAAGCGCGGTCTCGACGAACTTAACCATTTTCTGAACATTCCTCATCCCTTCGTCTCCGTTTTGTTCCCAGAACCTGTCGAAGCCAAGAACATAACTATCAAGTTGGGCTTTATCGGCGCTTTAGACAACTCTCTTGGAGCCACGGCATCTCTGGGAGAAGAACTGGTTAGTAATTTGCTATTACCTATTACTTGAGGATTATTAGTGACCCAGCAGTTTGCTGCGTTCCTGAAACTCACCCTAATTGCTTTGTACTTTCAGAGCTCGGCGTTCAAGGTAGCAATCGAAGTCATAAATGAAGAGGCTGTCAAGCCGAAAGTTGGCAGTCAAATAAGACTTTCGATGGATTTTAAAAGTAAGAATTCACTTTATACTGATTGTGGTAAATTGGCTTATAGCACCTACTTATACTCTTGAACACGCTTGAGAGGGAATTAAACTTTAGAACAAAGCAATCCCATCACGATCCTTTCCGTTTGTGTTTGTGCGCCAAGAATTGGCGATCTTTCTCACATTTTTTTGAGTGAGGGTTATCCTTTTTCTGAATTAAAACCATGACATTTCTTCCGTTACAAGGCCGAGAGGTCTCCATCAATTGGTTTCACTCATCTTTTCTCTATTGGGAATGGTTTAGGGTATAATGTTATGTGTGTGAGGTAACGTTTCTCCTTAGAAAATTTTTGAAGAGTGAGGTTCATTTTGAAGAAAAGGAAGAAGTTAAATGTGGCATACTCAGAGCAGGGAAATTATCTGGGGAATAATTAGATTAATCAACCCAATTATTAATCGAGTTATGGTAGAGCGTTCAAGCACTAAACATTAGAAGATACACGTATTTATTAAGTTATTCCCATGATGGGTTAAGTGGCTGCCTTCTTTTATAACTGTTCTTCTCTGATATAGTCTCGTTCTAGACATCCTGAAACAGATTTCATTAAGAGTAGAAAGTTAAAGATGAATTTCTTAATAATCGTTCTAGTACGTATTGTAAGCATCATTGCATTCTCAAATTTTCTGCCTACTGTTCCCAACATGTAGCCAAGTATGGGCAAGAAAGCAACCTGGAATGTTGCGTGTTGTTACAATGAAATTCGCATTTTTATCTAGAGATAAAGAGGGACCATCTCTTTTCAAAAAATTTTAGCTTAATAACATGTAGTAGCGCTATATTAAGAGGTCTTTTTCACACTTCTCTTAATGTTTACAATGTTTTCTCCTTATAGCCATGATCAAAGATGGCGGTACCAATCCATCAAAGACCTGTAAAATCGCTGCACAGGAGCTAGCGGCCGATCCAGAAATTGTTGGAGTTGTTGGAGCAATGCGTTCCTCTTGTTCCCAAGCATCTCATCAATATTTCAGAGACAAAGGTGAGCGAAAAAATTCGTAGATATTCAGTTCGTTTTGATATCAGGACACATCTTGTAACCGTGCGTGTCAATATTAATTACGAGTGTTGGTTCTTTCCTTGATTAGTCTTCGCTATTCGCAAACTTTTGTTTAAGAAAGGGCGTAGAAGTAAACTGTTTGGCACCGAATTGTACTTCTGATTTGGAAATATAATTATTGTGCTGGTATCTGAGAGAGAAGAATCACATGGCATGCGTATGATTTACGCAGCTAAATAGGATGTAACCATTTACAACATTTTATTACAGTTGAAATATTCATTTTATCGCATTTACACATTGGAAGACAGTTGTGCCAATTTAAACCATCGTATAAATGTTTCGCTGTAACGCTGCAACAACTTGAAAGAAAAACTTTATCAGCTTATAACAGATGCAGTTTTACCAAGAGATCATAAATAGTTAAAGCTTTTTTTCGAAGTCGATTTGGTTACGGAAAACCTTCCCTGATCTGGAGCTCTCCGGACCCCTAATCAGTTTCTTTCCCCTTAATGAGAGTTGTAGGTTAACGACAGAGCAGAAAGGCACAACATAAAAGTGTTAAAGACTGGCCCCTTTTGCTTCACGTAACGATAGTGCATGACAGCAGAAAGTGTCAGTGACACAACCCGATGTCGACTTTTACGAGGCGATGAAATCGTGAAACATCAGACATGTCTTTGCTAGCATTAACACTTATGATTGTGACCTAAGAAAGTGGCATCGAAAGTGAAGACAAAGTGAAAACGCCCCGACAAATGTGTTAACGTTTATTTGATAAAAAATGATTTAAAGCTGGCTACGATGGGGGTGAACTGTCTTACATTAACAGTCTTTTTTGTATGGCTCTCTTTTAGCGCCGTTCATGACTCAGATATCTTATGCGTCAACGGCAGCAGAGTTGTCCAATAAGAAGAAATATCCTCGATTCTTCAGAACGTGCGCCAGTGACGTTGCCCAGGCAGAAGCTTTGGTTGGGTTGGTGACTCTTTTTAACTGGAGACGAGTAAGTATCAACTTGGCGTCTGCTTTAGAACACCTTTACTACGTGCTTACAGGCCCGGTTCAAACAAAAAATATTTCATGAGTAAATGGAGATGCGTTGTAATAGGTACATGTAAAGTTCGTTGTCTTAAGTGTAGCATGTTTGAATACGTGGGGTACAACTCAGCCGTGGAATTAGTCTTAGTAATGGCTTTGCTTAGAACCCGAAGTGAGTTGCTCCCTGCATGTTTTTGATTCATAAATGGTTATGTCCTCTACTTGGTTCTGCCTAACGCTATGTTTAAAGAAGTGTTTTTCCTTTAACTAAGCTTTACCCCTACTCACTTGGAATTTGTTCTTTTTGAGGCGAATATAATGGTAATATAATTTGATCTAAGAACTATTCCGTCAAACAATCAGAAAAGTTTTAAAGAATTGAGTTAAGAAATTCTTGGGTAATGATAAGTGTATTCTTTCCAGAACCTGCTACGCGAAGAGGGTCAGTGCTACATCTACATAAAACGCGTGGATGAATGAGTTAAAATGTTGCTAACATTGTATTTCTAAGATAAATGATACATCATTTTTTTTGTTTTTTTCATATAGTAGACACGAGTTTCGCCCCACAACCTTCTAAATTTTCTGCATTACCAACAAAAAATTCCTTGGGTTGAGGCTGCTTGTTGTCCAAAATTGCAAACATTCCCTCATTTCCTTAATAGTTCCTTTTGTCTTACCACGTAGGTCAGTACCATTGCTACGTCTGACGGGTATGGTAAAAACCTGGCTGATGCTTTTGAAACAGCTGCGCGATTGCAAGGAATTAGAATCCATGCATCTGCACGATTACCAGCTATGGCAACCTCAGGAGATATAGACAGCAAAGTTCAAATGGTGAGGGACTTTCTTTTATTTTGATCAAAATGGTTTGTTGACATTAGTATTTGAAGGGTGGAATTTAAAAGCATACACCGAAATGGCATTTAAAGCATGTGTGTCAAAGTTTTGATGGAAACCTTTCTAGCGAAGTCAATGTGGTTTGTGCAGCTTGTCATTTCAAAACTGTTTTGTTTTGTCAAGTAATCGATGTTTACTTAAGAGTCGAATGGTTACACAACACGTCTTGTTACCACCCTGAAATGGTGTTAATGGCTTTGAAATTGCATCATCGTTGTTTATAAACGAGTTTTTACTTGACGAAAGCTAAAATTAGTCACAATGGGAAACACAGACTGTCTTTATCGGGACAGATTGGTGCCAAAATGAATTGCTTTCTCTTTGAAGGTAAACTCTTATCTTTTGTTCTTTCTGGGTTTTTTTCTCAACGGATTGTTTCTGTTGTGTAAATCCACTTTAAAATAATCTAAGGTGTGAAAATACCTAAAACGCTTGATTATTGATGTGCTTATTATTGGACCCCCACTCTCTCCACCCTAACAAATTATCACCTAACGATATTGGTCATGTATTATAAGACCCACCTTCTTGACGCTGGATTTTCGCTGAGAGTCGTTGATTGTCAACCGGGATTATACTTTGCATCCTGATTATCGGGATTAGCATGAGATCATCGCAAAATCGCGTAGGAAATGGCACATCTGTTTATTTCGTAATTAAAGCTCTTTACTTCTTCTCTCAAGCTGTTGTTACTTTGATCTTAAGTGTTTTTTATGTTTTAATCTCGTAGCTAAAAGATGCTCAAACAAGAGTTAACCTCGTGTTTGCCTTACCAGAAGAAGCCCGCGCCATATTTAAAGCTGCAAAAGCAAAGGTGACTTAGAGTGATGACTTACAGTCATTTTAGTGATGTTTATTTCGGTTGTTATTCAACTGTCGTTAGACTCAAGATTTCTAACATTCGCTGGACGTTTGCTTCTTTGATTCCTAATATTAACCATATTGTCTTAACCTTTTAACGCCAAAGAGTGATTAACACCCAATTTCTCCTTGCAGAATCACAGATAAATCAATCATTAAGGTTATGAGAAAAAGGGATCTGATGCCAACAAGAGATTTCACATTTAACCCTTTGACCCTTAAGAGTGACTAGCATCTAATTTCTCCTTTCAATATCACCCTGAATCACACATTAAGGTCAGGAGAATAAAGGAAGTGATCACTAACTAAAGACTCTTTCAATTTTGAAACTAATTCTATTTGTCAGCACCTCAGGAAATGTAAAGAGAAAAGTAAGGAGAACATCATCATAACCTTACCAAGAGATATAGTGAATTCAAAAGATTTGCAAAGATAAATCTGCGGCAAACTTCCTCGTTAAGTTTGTTTCCAAAACGTAGCACATGCATCTCGATCGATAACTAGACGCCATCTTGGATTTAGGTGAGCTTGAACGTTGTATATCATCCATCCTAGTGTCCACTTTGTAGCACGTTAGAGATCTTTTCCCTTACTTAATTTTGGAGGGTTTATCAAGAACGCTGACAGCGTAAAGAAAGGTTTTGTTTGTCTTTGAAAATGGCGACCACCTTTTTTTGAATTGGCTACCACTTTGAAGAATTTAGGAGCCAAATGGCTATCAGAAAAAAAAATTAATTTCACGCCCTGCATGCATGTTAATGTTAGGGTGTAAAGGGTTAAACGTTAAATTCTCCTTGTCAGTACTTTAGGAATATTTATAGAGAACAGTGTGGAGAATATCCATATCAATTTTTAGAGTTTGGTCACCAATTGGGCTTTGTGGCTAAGATTATTTTATCATGTTTTTAATTTTTACTTGCGTGTCTCTATACTTCCTTCCTTGCAGGGTATGACTGGGGAGGGGTGGGTGTGGATAGGAAGTGATGGTGTCCTGGCCACTCCACCGACCAATCAGAGCACAGCTACACAAGCAATGCAAGGAACTGTGGGAACTATGCCCAAAGGTACGTGATCAAAATTCAAGCTGCAGGTCGAGTACATCGAAAAACAAAAAGCTTATTTTGATCGACTGAGAGAGGTGTTATCCTTCCTTGAGGTTAATTTGCCTTCACTACGTTTAATTTTTATTTCACTCTCTTTTTATAGGAGGGATAGGAAAATGGATTCTCAGAATGCTGTTCCGGTGGATGAAACACAAAGACAACAGGAAACAGTATCCAGGCATTATTTATGACAATGTACGTCTGAATACGGGCAGTATATGTTTAATGCTGAAAAATTTCGTGCCGGGTTGTTCTTACTCTACTCTACAACGGTTTTCAGTTGAGCGTCGAAAATAATAACGTGGGATTGTTTGAGGTTCGCTCTACTGTGCGTTTTGTTTGGTTCAGGAAACTCTCACTTGATCGATCGCAACCGGGTTCATTTTTTCGGTCGGGAAATTTGCTTGTATTTAGTTTGAATTTTTGATGACTCTTTGCAGTACTTAACTCTGTGCTGCTTGGCCTTTTGATTTTGTTACCTTTCATTTAAAGGCAATCGCTTAAAGTGGGGTCTATCAATTGATGCATCTCTCTCTGCGTGTAATGTATTAATTAGGGGTTTGACCATTGTAAACTCCAGTCATAATAGCTTTTTTTCTTTGCACCTTTTAGATGCCTTGGACGTCGGTGTATGTCCCGCAAGTGTTTGATGCTGTTTATGCTTATTACTTGGCTTTTGACAGATTAGCAAGACAAGGCAAAATATCTTCGGTAAATACAGTATTATTTCATCGGTTTATACAGTGTTATTCTCGGGCTAATATCGGAAGTAATGCATCGCGCTCAATTTTATTTGAGTTAATTAATATTTTTTTCTTCCCTCTTCTTCGTTTTTCGCAGAGCGACTCTACGTCAACGTTACGAAAGGTGGTCTTTGATGAGTTGAAGAAATTCAACAATAAAAACACAGGATTTGTCGGTGCTCAAGGTACGACAGAGATTCATAAGGATGGAACATTAAACCAATATCATGTTGTTTTAAGTTTTATAATTTCGTACAGCGTTCAGATTTTGAAAACGGAGTAGTAGTTCAGAATACATCAATTTAACGATCTCGATAGCGATTGTTTTATCACGACCGGTGAGCGTCTTCCAGTCGTACATGATAGGTACTGAAGGTAAGAGGGAAAACTGATCAGCTTTCTTTTCTTCCTAAGGTCCCACTTACTTCGAGTCTCCAGGATATGACGTTGGAAATCTTCAGGTTAGAATCACCCGAGTCTGTCTTTTTTTCTCATTCCATATTTTATTGTTTTTTGTCGATGAATGTTTTGGATCCTGCTCCCAACCCTCGCTTGTACTCTATCACAGATACTTGATCACTAAGCAGTAGGAAAACAAATCACTAACAGCAACCCCTTGAATATTCTAGACACCTAACATCAGGTTATGATACCACCGCAGTTGTATTTCTAGAAATACAGTTGCGTATCCACTCTCACTCCTATATAACTTGTCTGGTACTCCTTGACTTGTAATGAATCTTCATTGATAAACAATTCCAATTCTCGGGAACAAACTATAAGCGACTACTTTTAGCTAGTGATAAAAGACAATAACCACTTCGTTCCGCCTCATTCAGGGAAAGCTTTGGAAAAAGGTGGGGAAATGGAACAAAACCATCGGAGTTGAAAGAATGGATGTCATCATTTGGCCAGGCAATACCAAAATTCCACCAACTGACAAAGGATTACCCGGTAAGACGACGTTTAGAATCGGTTTCATCGCCCCGATTCACCCAGACTTGGCAGGACTGTCCGAACTCGGTAAAGAGTTTGAATCGGCTTTTCGCGTTGCTGTGGAGATGATGAACAAGGACCCAACGTTGGCAGTGGATTTCGATATCAAAATTCAAGATGGCGGTGTGGATGCTAATTCCTCGTGCAGAGCGGCGGCTGATCAACTTGCTAAAGACGGCGTCGTTGCTGTTATTGGTGCTTATCGTTCTTCATGCTCTCAAGCCGCTGCTACTGTTTTAGGTGAGTTTCACAACAGTCCATTAATTTCGCACTACACTTGGTACATTATCTTTCTTTAGTAAAAAGTACACATCACAGATTAGGGGTGTAACTGCTACAAGACAGGCAATCACGACGAAAGGAATCTGTTCATGGCATTTTCAGCCAGCACTAAATTTATATCTAGGTTTTTTTGCTGACGGTTACTCAGCGGGCGCTAATATACCGCCTCCACCCCTCTCTACTTGCAGAGATGTATGACAATAGAACCACTCTATTGGGACTCCTCTTTTCAGGGTATACCTGCATATAAGGGACAACAATTTAGCTAACGACCGAAGCAAATGCCCCTCTAACCTTTATATGTGATGCTTTCATTTATGGACTTGTCTTTTCTACCTGTGGGTGTCTAATGAATGGTTATTCCTCTGTAACATTGTGTGGTACTGTCTTAACCCTTTAACCCTAAGAGTGACTGGCATCTACTTTCTCCTTACCATATTACCCCTGAATCAAACATCAAGGTCATGAGAATAAAGGAAATGATCACCAACGAAAGAATCTGTTGATTGTTAGTCAAATTCTTCTTGTCAGCGCCTTAGGAAATGTATAGAGAACAGTATGGAGAATATGAATACTGATGTTATGGTGTGAAGGGTTAATTTTCCTACTCCTATTTCCATTCTCAGGAACTTCAACCAACAGAATACCTCAGATCTCCTATGGCTCCACTTCGTCCGTCTTCTCGGACAAGACCAGTTACAAGTATTTCTTTAGGACTTGCCCATCTGATGTGCATCAAGCTGCCGTTCTCTCAGCTTTATTCCGAAAGTACATGTTGCCGGAAGTCGGCACTGTGGCTACAAACGATATTTACGGACAAGATCTTGCGGACATGTTTGAAAAAGAAGTCACAGGCATGGCTGATGTGCCGGTCAGTGTGGTCAGCAGTCAACGGTTCGATGTAAATGCACGAGCAGCCACCGTCCGACCAAAAATACAGAAGGTAATTGAGCCTTTCGATTCGGCCTGAAATTTGGGGTGCAGACAATGATAATCGCCATACGACTGTGAGATTTGACTCGTCTGAAATTTCATCAAGAAAGTAAACACATTCAAAAAGTTCAGTTATTTGTCCTTCTTGTCGTACCATGAATCATATCTTACCAGTTTGTCTTCCGTTTTCTAGCTGAAATCGTCTGGTTCCAAAGTCCATCTCATCAGCATGGTCCGTCAGGATGCTGAGACGGTCTTCCAACAGATCAAAGAGCTAGGCATGACGGGTAAAGGCTGGGTGTGGATTGGAACCGACGGTGCAACCTCTTCCACTTTCAATCAACAGAAAGACTTGGAACGGGCTATGGAAGGCATGATAGGAACGCAGCCGAAGAATGGAGAGGGAAGTATTTATTTGAAGTTTCTGGCAGCTTGGCTCAAGAAAGACTCCACAACGTATCCTGGAATTGTACACAGTAAGCCGGTGAGTGTAAGTAGTACAGATATAAATGTATCATTCGTCTCGCTTAGTTGGTGTCCTTTGCATTAAAATCACATTGATATTGGGGTCCCATCACTCAACCTTCGTTGAAACCATCACAAGAAGAGTGAATTTTACTTCAAGTAAAAACAGATAAACAGGAAAATTTCTCAGGGAAAAGAGGCGTTTAATTTATACATGCATCCTTGATAACATCCTCTACAATTACACCTTTGTTTTGGGAAAATTGTAAAGGTTGATGTGATTTGCTTTTTTTAAACTGTTATCAGTTTTGCTTACGTTATTGCATCTCTGTTCATCCAGACTCCCATGTCAGCGGCATTCACTGCGCAGCTGTTTGATGCAGTACATGGTGTGGCTCTGGCTCTGTCAGACCTGGTCAATAAAAAGTCATTAGCAGAACATCAGAAGTGCAGACTGTGAGAGACGAACTGTATCAGAAGTTAAGAACATTTGATGACTTCAGTTCGGGATATCCGAGCGCGACTGGTACCAACAATGTGATGTACTTCGATCAGAATCAAGATCCCCCTCCTCTGTACGATGTTGTTAATCTTGTGGTAAGTACTTAATGTTGTTTTAAGGGAGTTTTGAATGAAATCTTCAAATGATAGGTTCCCATTGATGTTAGACATCAATATGTAAGCATGAGCAGATGGAGAGAAGCATAGATGAGATTGGAGAGGTTTAACACGACCCTGTGAAGTATGTCAACGAGAAACTTCAAAAAAACTGAAATCGTGAAGGTTAAAGGACACTTAAAACTTCGTAAGGAGAAACTTATACCACATATCAGACAAATGATGGAACAGATTTTCCATAGAAATCCAACGTGATGAAAATTTGTCAATGACAAAACGGCCATTTAAATAACGTGGAGGAAAAAAAATCTGCACACGAAATAAACAATACGATGTCTTAAGAACTTGAATCTAATTGTTAAACGCGAGAATATTCTTGATCCTTCAGGGTAACAATTGGATTACGGTCGGTCAGTACGACTCCAAAACAAAGAAAATCGGTTTGAGAAGAGATATAGTGTTCCCTGGTGGCGTGACAAGGATTCCTGGCAAAGATCGACCAACTTACAAGATCGCCGCTTTCTTTCCAACTCATGAAGATCTTGGGCCGTTAAGGGACTTGGGGCTAGAGTGGCAGGCAGCCTTCAGGATCGCTGTGGAGCTCGTAAATACGGGCCCTTTCAAGGTGGCCTTTAGCTATGTTCTTGTTGATGGAGGAGAAAATGCGGAAACTTGCCGACGTGCAGCACAGGTAGGATAATAACTTAAACTCAAGTCGTCAAGGTTTTCGTCGTTAGGTTGTCGGCTTTAATTGCTTATTTGTTCTGTGAATTAGTTCCGAATGGTTTTTATAAAGATATCACCCTACAGTTGATGAAAGGATTTATTGTCATCTCTAACTTGCTGGTTAATGTATTGGTTATGTGAGTAGACCACTATGTCTTTTCTTTCAGAATCTTCCGGACGACGCGGATCTTATCATCGGAGAAGCCAGGTCGGCCTGTTCCATCGCAATTGCTGAAGCCACGAAACAAAAGAATATTCCTCAAATGTCGTACGCTTCCACGTCTGCGCTACTATCAGACAAGAAGAATTATCCACACCTTTTTCGCACATGCGCTTCTGATGTGTTCCAAGGGAAAGCTCTGGCTAAGCTGGTTGAAAGATACAAGTGGACACAATTGTCCACTGTAACGACACTTGATCTGTACAGTGAAGAGCTCGCTCGTAAGTTTGCCGTAGAAGTGCGGAAGAAAGGAGTCGACATTGTCACCGAGCAACGGTTTGAAGCGCAAACAAAATTGAGTATCAAGGAATATCTTAAAGAGGTGAGACACTTAGCACCAGTGTATGTATAATTACTACAGGCAGCCACTGAAAGCTTATTGCGCATTGCTTTTTAGCACCGAGTTTCGTTCTCCTTCTCCTTCTCCCCATACCCCCTCGACCTTCGTTTTTCGGCTTTCCTTGGTACTCCCTTCAGAGGGGTAACGAAATCGTGTTCAGAATTTCCTTATCTCATTTCCAACGAAATAAAATTTATAAAAAATGTCTCTTTGAACAGATAAAGAAAGCTGGGACAACAGTAAACTTGGTTAGTGCCACGACTGATGACGCAGAAAAAGTTTTTCAAGAAGCGATAGAACAGGTAACAAATTGATTTGTCATTGTTATCTACCCAACATATTGGGGGTTCAGTAGATTTAGTACTCAGATACTTTCGTTTTACACGGAGGAGTATATTCCCGTTTAAAATAACCTCTTCCTCCTTTCCTGGCTTGAAGAGGCCATTTTCGATATAATAACACTAATACTTGGCTCCGAGGCTTGAGGAAATGAAACGTAAGAAATCACATTGACAATGAGGGATGAATAATTAATTTATTTTGTTTTATTCCCCCCTAGCCTTGGAGCCATGTTAGAATTTCACATGGCTTATTGTGTTTGTCTTCCGTTGTCACATTGTTTCTTTTTTTTTCCCGTTACCAGAGTATGACCGGTAAAGGGTGGACATGGATTGGAACTGACGGTGCTACCACATCACCATTCGTGGAGTCTCCCAACTTACAACTAGCCATGCAGGGTATGGTAGGCACCAGGCCTAAACACGGTGAAGGAGCACTATACCAAAAACTGCTAAAGACCTGGAAAGAAAAAGACGCATCCATGTACCCTGGTCCTATCCATTCTCCCAGAGTGCTACAGGTTCGTTTGTATTTTAATTATCTCATCCGCACTTCTTCAATCTTTCCCAACGACTTTCGATGTAAGGTTTTTTTTCTTTTTTTTTTAAGTTAATAGATTTAACTAGATTAAATCGCTGAAACTGTATTCTGTATGCTCTTGAAATCCAATCGTATTTTAACCCAAGTTTACAGAGTTTTCACTAGAATTAGAGAGAGATCGGTGTCTTACTTATATTATCCAAGTGTTAACTCCTGGTAATATTCTTTGTTTTATTATCCAAGTGTTAACTCCTGATCATTCATTCCACAGGCTTCAGCTTATGTTGCTCAGGTCTATGATTCTGTTCTTGCTTATGCGCATGCTTTAACAAGACTTCATGAAGCGGGAACCATAAATAAGGTAAGTTTGTTTAAAACTAAGTCCATTTACGAACAAAGGGTCTAAAAATTACGTTTGCAATTTTTGAGCTAAAGGACCCCAATCTAAGATGCTGTTCTTGAGGCGAATCAGGAATTTGAAATCAATCAAAATGGCAAACAGCTTTTTATCTCTTGTATTCGATCGACTCGGCAAATTTATTCGTGTACTCTTGGCTCTGGGTTTTGTTTAAGTCGATGAGGTAAAAAGCGGAAATTATTTGATAAACTTTAAACAACGAACCTTTGAATATTTTACCATAAAATATTGAAAGTGCTAGAGTGCTTCAGTGCTAAACTCTGAGTGTAATGACCAGCTTGAGAACGTTTGCATGCTTTACGTGCCTACCTCTACCTTATTTCTCCCTCTTGCCCCTTTAAATGTTATTCATCCAAACGTTCTCCGCCTCCCAGTACTCCTCCCGTGCGGACGTGCAAAAGGAGATAATGACAGAAATACGCAAAATGAAAGACGCAAGTACAGGATTTGACAGCTCAACCGGAAGAAAACAGTTCTTCGATTCCAATCAAGATGCGCCGGCAATTTATGATGTTGTGAACCTAAATGGAGATTCATGGGTGAAAGTTGGTTCTTACGACCCCTCCCCGGATCATGGACTCAGTATAAGGAAAAAAATTGTGTGGCCAGGAGGGAGCCTAAATACCCCGAGTGATCACCACTCACCAAGGTATTAATTCGAGTTACCATAGTTTTTTTTTCTTTTTTTCGCCTTTCTTTCTTTCACTCGCCAGTTACTAGAACACTTTATGTTTGCAAGACCTAAAACTATTTTTGGCTTGATTCGAAGTGTAATGTTATTTATTTGGTTCTATTTTTACCCTTCACAGTGTAAAGGAATCTGCTGTAACCGAACCGCCGAAAGCAACAGGTGTCAGTGATGGTGGTATCATAGCTCTTGGCGTTGTATTCGGCACTTTTGCCGTCGCCATGGGAACTTTTATAGCTTACTTGATATACAGAGAGAAAAAGGGAAAACCCTCCTTTGGACCTCAGGTAAGAATATTCACATTTTCCTTGTTTCAACTTTGTTTTAATTTCTCTTTCAATAAAGACTTCTATCTATGTGGTCCACAGCCTCCTCCCTCTTAAACTCTCAATGAATGTACCTATGGCAATTACTCTTTTCCTCTTTTGTATGTGAGGATTTTCATTAAGAATACGATAGTACTCAAGACAATATATATTTTACGATAATGAGTTCCTTATTCTCAAAACAAAATGCTTATTAAATGTGAGATCGGAATAGTTATGCTGTTCAGTTTTTTTGACGGTCTCTTTAAATTAATTGACGCGTAGTGTTTGTTACTATTTTTCTTCGTTGCTCTCTCTGGCTTTTCTTCTACGTCTTTGTTGCTTATCGCGTGTGTTAATCATTGTTCTTAGGTCTTCAGACAAACTTATCATTCACCGGTAAGCGAGATAGCCTCTGTTATGGATAATGGAAACATACAAGTTATACGAGCAGTCAAAGAGCCTATAACATAAAGCTTACAGGTAAGATGAACTAAAGAATTTTTTTTTTATGTTAATCTTCCGTTTTTGGACCTATCTTCGTTTCCTTTCACGTGGTTTTAAGAAATGAAGCTTCGTCGTTTTTTTCGCTCCTTCCTTGTTCAAGGGGTTTTTCCTTTTTGACGTGTCAGCCAAATTCAGTTGTATTGAAAATAGTCAGGGATAATTTAGTTTGCATACGATTTGTAGTGCTATTTGTTGTGTCTAACATTCATTGTTATATTTTAGATTTCCTCAGAGCCTTAGTGACAAGAGACGATGACGGATCAAATCTGAACAAGTTTCTTGGAAAAGTAGAATATTTATTGAAACTTTGTTTCACAAATGCCATGACTTGCTTTGGTCCAGCGGAATACGTTCAAATTCAGACGGCATATTGCACAAAGGATGACAGAATTGTTGTATAGGAAATTTTTAAGTTTTAAATATGACATTGTTGCTTGTAAATATTTATATGTTGAAACGTAGTTGTTCTTTGTATTCAACATGTTTCTTAATTGCTCTACATCACGACAAAGTGAGTCCCAGGACTCGCTAGCCAGGGATCGTATCATAATGTCTCATTTTCGCTTAGATTCTCTTTAGAAAACAGCAGTAAAGAGTAAAGTGGTCCCACATGACTCTAAATAAGCTAGGTGACAATGCAACTGCGACACTCGAACTCAAGAGAAGACACATCGGTGCTAATTTTTTTCAGAAATGTCATGCAAAAAAATATATAAAATCTGATTGGCTATGACACACAGAGCAGCTAACCAATGAGGTTAGAGGAAATCAGTTCAAAGCAAAGGAAAGGCTGCATAGGAAGAATTTAGACCTCCAAACCTAAAGATCTTTTTTGGTTTCAGCTTTGAATTGACTGCGTTAAAAACATCACGTTGGGAAGGTTGTCCCTTTTTTTGTGGCATTCATCAAATGACCATTTTACTGATGGCTTAAACATATTGACATTAGTTATCATTATCTTATGGGTGCGTTGAGTTAATCATACAAAGCCTTTGAGATTTTCACGTCGTGTAGTTTTAAGGTCGCTTTTCCGTACGGTTTAGCTAATTGCTTCTATGAAGCAGAAATCTGGTCTCAATAAATTTTAGTTTCTGTGCGATAATGTTTGTTCGACTATCGTTGTTCATTTCATACGTTTGTCCGAAAGTGATCATTAATATTGCTTCTACTTTGTTCCCACGGGCTTAGATAGATTATTTGTTCTCGCTTGGTGCTAAGTATATTCTGCTTTACCAGATCTCGCCTCTTGGTTTACGTGACGCATTTGTGTGCTGGTCACACAAGATGTCACACGGCGAAGCGGGTTGAACAAAATATACGATTACATCATAGTAGATACAATCTGTGTTTAGTTCAGTCGAAAATTATTTTCGGTACATGTAGCATATCACAGTAATAAAAAGATGATAAATGTAGAGTCCGTTTTCCATATAAATCCTTTAAACCCTAAGAGTGACCAGCATCTAATTTCTCCCGATAATATCACACCAGAATCAAACATTAGGGTCATGAGAATGAAGGAAATAATTACCAACAATAGAAGCTTTTGATCAGTAAACAAAATCTCCTTGTCAGCGCCTTAAGAAATGTATAAAGAGTAGTATGGAGAATATGCATACTGATGTGTAAAGGGTTAACAGCCCACTGGAAACGACTAAGGATGAATCAGTTCTCGCACGGAATTTCCTTCGCGTGTTAACCTTTAATTCCCAGAAGCGATTAACTTGTAACTTCTCCCATAATATCCATACATTATCTCGCTAATATGTAGTGAGGATATTCAACCTTATCAGGTAGAGGTTGGTGGTCCTGATCTAACACCAAATTCTTGTGAGTTATTTACTAAGAAATGTGTAGCAGCTAGAGGGGAGAATTAATAATCAAATCCTGGGAGTTAAAGGGTTAAAGGCATTTGTAATGATGCGTTTAGAACAGGAATAAAGAATGGGCGTTTTTTTGCGTTGAAAGCTATGTGCAGCGGTCGTCTACCTGAGGAAAGTTCAGTTAGACGACCTTAAGAAAGGTAAGGAAGTTGTTGTCAACAAAAACTTAGTACCTATTCGCCGACCACATTCCCCAAGGCAACCCATGGGCATTTTGATCGTCGTCCGTGTCCGGGGGTTGGGGAAGTTGAACCTTGTCTGGCTGGGGTGAAATTTGAACCAGAAGTGTCAAGTCTTTCCAGTGTAAGGTAAATATTTCACTATCGCGAATGAATGGGTCGAGGAAAGGGTTCTCAAGGTTTAGGGTTTAAAGCTTAGTCAATGTGTATAAAGTCTCGGCGGCTGATTTTGCCTTACAAGAAAATTGGGTAGGGCATTTGAAGGCAATTTTTGTCCTAGGGGAGGGGATTTGAAGATACCAATCTTCAAAAGTTCAAATACCCAGCGGGTTACCCGGAGGGTTTGTTGAAGCGTTGAATTAATAGATGCATTGCCAGCGCCTACATTCCAGTATTATTATCCAACACAGAAAGGTTAAATTTGGGTGCCGAGAACTATCTGATAGGCCTTAGTTTAACATGCTTAGTTAATCATTATTTTTTCAAGAGGTCACCTTGAAAACACAGATTTGTTTTTGTAAATAGCAAACGTGACATCTGACTAAAGATTACTTATTTCACTCTTTATTAATTAGTGATTTTACAAGAGCAACAAGAGGCATTAGTAAGCTTCAGTTCAGTCCTGATCTCCTCCACCTCTTCATTCATTGATGTCCTCCAATACAAATTCCCTCTTGCAGTGTTCTCTAGCAGCTGTACACAAGGCTCTCCCGGCCAGTTGGTGCTATCATAAGACAAATCACTGGTGAGTGAATGCTAAGGGTATGGATGGGACGAAGAGAGCAGGAGGTGTCTAAGGGTGCATGTGACATACCCTTTAACCAAAAAAGCTACGATACATCACAATACCACAACCTAGTTCGCCCTCCTCTCTCCTCTTCTTGTACGACCCCACCTACTTTAAAATAAAGTTAACTCTCTGAAGGGACGAAGAGCATTTAATGAAAGTAATTTTTTGGACAGAATGGCGCAAAAATCATCTTTTCAGTTATGAAGCTTACACATTCTCACGTTACCCACGTGTCGTTACTCGCGATATATAATCCTGTGCGAGAGTGAAACTTTAGTTGCTCGGTCTATTTTCGACCATCGGATCTACTAGGTAGATTGAAAAAATTAGCCTGTTCACTACCAAGATCTCAAAGCTATTTCATGTAACTATTAGCGCACATTTCCTAGCTGGTTAGTACAAAGAATTTGCTGTTTTATTTTGACAGAAACCTCTATTTGAATGACTTTTTTACTCTCATTACCTGGGTGCTCAGCATGCGATTAAATTTTGAATAGGAGAATACTAACACAGATAACTCTAGGGAGTCACTATAGTAAGAAGGCAGATGAAAAGTGTTGTTCATCACAAAACGTCATATTGAGCATTGCTTAAAAAAAACACAGCAACAAAAACAACAGTTGAGAGAACTTACAGACTTCGCTAAGTCGCGCTTTCCTGAATAAGGAAGATTTCCCCCTCCACCAGCGGTAAAGGCTTCATTCTCCGCTACGAAAGTTGCGAGAAGGACGAGTGTAAAAGCCAGCAGAAATTTAGCGTTCATGTTGGAATAATTTTGCGACAGTTTGTTCCTCTCGTATCGCTGAGTTTTAAAGGAGAGATGCCAACTTCTAAAGCGGCCGCATTTTATTCCCCCTTAGAAATGTCAACACAAACACTTCAGCAGTAATTTTCTTGACCGAACCGGAATTGAAATAAAATGAAGCTCTAATTAAAAATCTATAATTGTTTTGGCTGTTTGAGCATAAACACTTTTACGTAATCGACGCCGACGATTCCGGCCTTTTAAAGATATGAAATCAAAAAATGATTAAGGATGTTTTCCGCCTTTTACTGATATTCAATAAATTTTTTAAACATGATTTTATTACTAAGAAGTCATTCCTTTGCTTATCGTGTTGCACAAAGTCGACGCAGTCATAGATATAACAGAAGATTTCAAGACTGAGGATGGATTTAATTACTTCTCTTAGTAAATTGTTTCACCCATTATTTCCGTGGAGTAAGACGAGCCATTCTAAATTCCGTTTACATATAGTTGTATGTTGTCACTGTCGGTAAACATTCTACGGATTATTGAGTAATACCCTATCTTCTCTAGAAAACGAAAACCGTGTTTCGAAACAAATTCACTCATCCACCACAGAATTTCTTTATTTCTCTTTGACCAATTTGGAAAAAAAATTGTTTCCTGTTTTTAAATGCAATGATCTGTACACGAACGCTGTTTGAGTAAATGTGGCCACCTGGAATATATTTTATGCACTTGGGTTTATTAATGTACCCGCTCAAATCAACTGCCACCTTTTTGCAACTATCGTCACTCCTGATATTGACGTGAGGGGAAAAACTCTCTGGGGTCAAAGAGTGAGAAGGAATCAGGTCTTTTATTCAGTTTACTATCTGAACCCACAAACTAATGCTCATCCAGATAAATACAAAGTTTTCTTTAATTATGTGACGTTAAAAGAGGTGTGCTGTCTTCATCTTATTTCCTCATTTTTCATAAAATTATACAATATATATGCCCTGCTTTCCTCACTTTTTTACGTGTGAAATCAAACCGATTTTTAATTTTAACTATCCTAGATTAACGCCGCTGTCTTTCCTCAAGCAGCGAACTATTGCATTATTACTTTGGTAGCTTTCCTATCCTTTGTAAAAAAAAAAAGAAAGGAAATAATAAAATGGTGGCAGAAGTGACAAAAAAAAGGAGGCGAATGTATTCAAACTTAATTTCTATTTTGACAGGAACTCAAGAATGGTGCGAGCATTTTTAAACTTTCTGTAAAAATCAAACTTCCTATTCAATTCGCGTCATTCGAACGGAAATTACAAAATTGAATGATTATTGTTCTAAACTGAATACGAATATTGTGCATTTAAATCAAAATAGATAAGAACCATCGCCATTTGGAGAAAGCTAAATTAAAGTTGTCAAGTTTTAACGGTTGGTGGTCGAACAATAACAAATAATCTAAAGAGAGGTCTTCAATTATTATTTGTTTTTAAACAGGGGAAGTTAATAATAATGACTTTCAATTTTTCCTGAACAAAATTAAAAGCTTATTAAGTTATGAGTACACTTTTCTTCATGAAATTGTATGTTTTGAAATAGATCTCTATTAATTTTTGCTTCTAATTAAATGAGTAAACCTTTGATCTGATGCTGACTATAGAACTGATTTTCCACGAGAGTTAGGTTAACTTCACTGAACAACCTTCTTTTGAATTTGAAGAAGCCTACGGTTTAGGAATTTGAATACACTCGACGGCAAAAATCTTGACACCTGAAAAGCATGACCCACGAACGATGACGCCGCACGACTCAAAAGGAATTGTTCGTATAGTTTCATGGTCAGAAATTTCTTTTCTGATTATTCCCGGGAAATCTTTTTTTTAAGAAAATCTTTTTTCTTTCAGGAAAGCATGGATAGCTTCCATCATTCACCGCGTGCAATTAATGTCTGTTATCATGAACATGTATAGCAAAAAAACCGCTTTTTAGATGTCAACGTTTTTGCTATCGAGTGTGCAAAAGGTTAATCGTGTCTTTAGTCTTCTTTAGTCGTGCAAAAGCACCGAGTAAGTGCAAGCGAAGCACATCAATTTTATCAATTCCTCACTTAAGCGCGTTCCACCCGAAAAAGAAATAAAGTTAAGAAAACGGAGTAGCAATAATTGTAATGCAATGATCGCTGTACCTTACTCATTTTGTTTTGCTAACGTCTTTTGTATGTTCCTAATGTGGCATGCAGTTGTGGAGAGGTTTGACAGCAATATCTAAGTCTATTCCTAGTAGTTTAGTTATCACAGACCCCAAGAGAATATCAATATTTTCTTACAGTCCCCGAAAGCTGTTTCCGCCTGAGCACAACCCCTAAGTAGGGGAGAAACGCTGTAAATCATGTAGACACGTACTTCACAGGTTTTGACAAATGCAAAAGAGAATAAAAAACGTGAGATATGTGAGCACCATTAGTATTCATTGCTGTGTAAGCATAATCTAGTGTGTATTTTCTGTTCGAATGACAAAGACTGATGCACTATGATAGTAAAGAAGATTATAACGTAACCTTGTTAATTAAAACGCCTGAAAAGCATGTTTTATACAAGTTTCTTAATCCGTCAGATAAAAAAACTCTGGTTTACAAGGATAAAGCGTGAAGACAAAAATATGCTTTAAAATTTGAGAGAAGAGTTGATATCCTCTTGTTTAAATTGTATTACTTGCTATAAAATTATGTTAAGCATCAAGGCAAGAATCGACTGGGATATTACAATTCTACATAAGACATGAAGATGAATGAATAAGAGAGATGGACCTGGACACGCTCTCTGAACGCGTTCCGGTCCTGACTAAAAATAAATTGAAAAGAACGAGAACATAAAATGGAAAGATAATTTTGCATGAAATAAGATAAACAAAAGGGCAATAGAGGAAGTAAACTTTTAAAACTTAAAGAGCTATTAGTAATAGACATGACAGGTAATGGGCTCTTGGTACGATTACAAGAAAATCAATATAGTCACAAGTTCACTCAGAGGTCGTAGAAACGAACTTCAGACTGCGGACAGAACGTGATTTTCTTTTACAGTACGAAGCTAGATAATGCAAATACGTTATTTACAATATTTATGTTTTGACTTTTTTAAAAATTGCTAGAAACGTGTGTGTCAAAGCTAGATTTCGTTTTTTATGGTCTCAATAAACTGCACAGTCATTTGTTCTCATCTCACGCTTACTCGAACCTTTCTTTCAAAGTCCAAGTTATGTGTGGATCGCATGCACAATCGTTTCTCTAAAGACGTTTTCATCTCCGACGAGGCATCGGGAAAAAGACGGAATTTTACCTTTTTAGAATTATTTAGGAGGCGGATTCCCTTCTCCTGGGATTCCTTGACTAAACTTTTAGAAATAATTGTGTGAACGTTTGTCTCTCGACTTGGTTACTCCCCGTGTGGATCGCCACTTTACAGCTGCAATGCCAGTCTAAGCTTCTTTAGGCGATGAGGTAGACTAAGTATGAGTCATTTGATTCCGTGGTAGTGTTAGCATATATGAGGTGGCGCCTGTAAGTGACTTTATCAAAGGTCATTAAGCCCGATGGTGGGACGTCTGTTATCCTTTGCAATGCCCGAATCAAATAAATAATTGAATTTAATATTTCAGCCTGGTCTTCTGCCACTACTTGAGTTTGCTCACCTACATTTTGTAAAACATTTTTTCAGCTTTTTGAGGAACAGACTCCGAAAACCGCGAAAAAAAAAAATTGTGGCCATGATTGAGTTGAACTGATAAACATAGGATTGCATAAAACGATGGATTTTTTTCTTGGGTTTGGAATAGTCAACTAAATGGCGATAGCACTAATTCATGGATTGGACTAATATTTTGGTTGCTAGAGATTTCCTACAACGGCGTGCCTCATCCTTTTTGTAATTGGCACATTTTGATAATGTGGATTTACGAACCTTTAAAATTAATTTAAACTACGTTGTACTTGAGAAAAGATAAACAATGCAGCGGCAAACACCCTAATAATTGTCTTTTGTTAACATTTGAACAGTAACAAGACTACAGTTCTTGATCAATAACGTTTTCAATTTATTTTTCAAATATAGTGACAAAAATTCCTTTTCTGTTGTTGTTAGTCTAAGCAAGTTTTTCCTCTACCTAAGTGCTTAAACAGTTTAAAAGTATATAAAAAATACCAAGTGAGGGATAGAGTGCGATTGCTAGCGCTGTTTAGAGATTAATTTCTCGTTAAAGCTGGTTGTCAAACACAAATTCCACCGTGGTACAAAACTCAGAACAGCTTTAATTGTTACTTAATTACTTTGGCTCTGTAACAGAGAAAAACTGCTCACAGAGGGTAACCTTCGTGTGCAGATTATAAAAAAAGTAAATGTAGCTTGGAAGTTGTAGAGTATTCATAGGTCAAGTGACTCCTTTCATTCCTCTGATTCAACTTTCCTTTATTCAATAATCAATATAGTATATCTACAATACAATACTTCTAATTAGTTATTTTACTTTTACTTAGGAAAGTAGATTTATGACATAATTGAGTTTCCTTACTATGATAACGCTTTTTACTCAATACACCACAGAAGTGTTTCAAGACTTATTTGTTTCCCTTTACAATTTATCTATTTACTAATTTCACTTCACTCGGGAGGTTGGGAGAACTCTCGAAAGTTATGCAAACCCGAAACGCAGTCGTGGGTTTGCATAACTTTCCTGAATTCTTCCAATCCCCATCGGGCATGTAATCAACCGTGAAAAGTGCGCCAAGCCTTATTTATTTCACTCCCCAATCAAGTTCAGGGTACTATAGCACAAAAGTCATCCGACAGCATTGTAAAATCAAGTTAATAAGGACGGAATCACATCCATAATAATATTGAAAGAGGAAGATAACAGTTTTGATATTGAGAATGTGGCAAATCTGGGGACGCTTGGTATCGCAACCGCGTTCGAATTGTGTGTCTTCGAACCTACTTGTCGCGTTGTGTTTATTTGCGATATTTGCACCTGTTTCGGGCCAAGATTCGTGTAGTGTTGGACCTTGCTATCTTTCTCCTTTGAACATTTCAAAGCATTTTAATGTTACGGCGAACTCAACTTGCGGTAACCCGTCAGAGCAATACTGCGTTGGCTTGGATTGCACTAAAATTTGCAATGCGTCCGACGAGAAACGTAAACATCCTGCTAACTTTGTAAACGACGACTTTAGAGACAATACATTCTGGAAGTAAAAAAACTACGAGTTTCCTGTTGTTCTACAGCAAGAGGTTCGAAGAACTTTCATGCTGTATCAGTCTATGGTAACTTTTTTTCACGAGTTACCGGCTGCAATGTACCTTTTGAAGTCAAATGACTCTGGAAGAACATGGAATCCTCTAACCTACTTTGCAACGAACTGTACAAAATATTTTAATCTACCAGAAACGCCTGAGAACGAAAGTGAGGCTTTGAAAGTCCAATGTTTTAAAATAGACACCGCTACAAATCTCAACAAGCAGGTAAGCTTTTTGATAGGACATATTTATTTTGTAGATGCTGCCGTTGGGATTAACTCGCTGTTATCGGTGCCAAAATTTCCTCGAGTTTTTTTATGGAGTATGTTGCTTTATAAACTGCCATAGCAATGGTGAATTATATGAGCAATCGTATTTACATCAACCACCTGCAGATAGAGTATGTTTGAAAGAAGTGGTTACTGCGTTTACTTTAACCTAGAATTGTGCTTGCAGAGGTTTCCCGTACAAGAGAAATGTATTAAGCTAGCTGTGAACTGCATTTTCAAACACTTAAGTTTCGAATCCTTCTTACCTTAAAACAATATGTTGACGCCAAAACCATCTGAGGAAGTGAATTTCGATACATCAATTATCATGACGACTATTGATAGGCTTTCACGACTTTAGGCGCCTCGACCCCAGCTCACTCTTTCAGTTTTCCTGACGAAGTGGGTTGGTTTAGAACCGGGTCTGCATTTAACCCCCTTGGTAATGCGTTTTTACACGTTGATCTTTAAGATTAATGGTTCGGGAATGAATTTATTGTGGATTCTTTGCTATTGCGTTTCTTAAATTTCCTCTCCTTTAGTTACATGTTTGACCAGTTCAGAAAAGTGCCAGTCAACCACGGTACGTGCGCCATGAACACTGTGAAGGCGTTGGGTTATTTTTTTGTCTTTAGTTTCTCTCTGTGTGGGAGCAGGAAGGATCAAACAGCGACAGAAATAGAAGATGTTGCACGCCAACCACCCGCAGGTGCATCATTATATTCTAAACGTAAACGTGGTTACTTATTCTAGAGCCTGGTCAGTTAGCCGGAGATGGGCATTCTAGGCCTCCCTTTACACAAAAACATACCATTTCATCTAAAATTGCGACCCACAAAAAAGGGCACTTGGAAGCATGGAGGACTTGCAAGGGAGGACATAGATTCCCTTACATCCCGTTGGCTGGTATCGATAAGATGGCTCGGATGGTATCAATGAGAAAAAAGCCACCTTATCACAGTGTTTCTTGCACTAGGGAGTGCGGTAAGTAGTAATTGGCACACGCGTACCATAACGACTGTAAGAGCTCACTCAATTCATCGGAAAAGGAAAAAATTGGTCCGCAATGCTTACATGTATGGCTTACGAAATTGAGCTGCTTTTTAGTGTCTGGTATCTTGACATTTGGGAAATGATGTAATCTACACTAGAAGCCATTGGGAGCTTGATTTGGTTTGAATGTGTGACTAATTTTGGACAATACATACATGTAAAGTAACACAATACTGAGTGTAGGTTTCTTTTGTCCATTAGGGCATAAAGTTCAACTTTCAGTTGGTTGAGAGCAAAACGATTACTATAATTATTGTATAATTATTGTATTTAGGTTTTTTGGGACTGTATTTTCAATAAAGAACACAGAAAAATTTAGTTTAGGTACATAGATATGAGGTTGTAAATAGAAGAGTCTAGGGAAAAAAGATAGGTGCATTACAAGGTCAGAACACAAGCAATATTTTAATGAATCATATGTTGAGTTAAGTACTCTGAAGTAACATTGCTAATAATTTTTAACCTAATAAGATTTACAATTTGACCTGGAGGTTTTATTTAACAGAAAGTTCAATAGAGATAGATTGTCACCATAATGGACTTCAGGAACAGTAATCGGAGACATAACTTAAACACAGCAGAGTTCAATGTACAGGCAAGTGCATGATGGTATCATATGATTTAAACTACCAGATGCTTTCAAGTTTTCTTATTATTGAAATTGTAACTTCATGCCAGTGAGTCTACCAAATTCAAGTTATGTGGAGAAATGAATAGGTGAACTTGACATCATCATGCAAATGGTCAACTTGACATCATCATGCAAAGTGCTAATCTACCGTACAAAAAGGTCCAAAACAAACATGGTAAGCAACTGAACTTCATGTATCACTTTGTGTTAGGGCACACAAGAGGACTTGTGAGACCTGCTTCACTCTCATTTGTCAGAACAAGATTGAACTTCTGGTACCAATCAAAATTCAGAACGACTGTGACAGTTTGGAACTGATCTGTTTAGACTGTGCTTTTAAGGGGTCTACAGATATGATTAGAACCCTTGGTCTCTGAGGATACCTGATGGTTATCTAATCCACATCAAGTAGCTCTAACTTTTCACTATAAACATAACAAATGTCAGTTCCATTGAACTGTTGTCATAAAAACTCAACAAAGTCTAAACTAAGTTAAAATATACTTTGGTATTCTAAATAAGCAGAAGTCAATTTTTCACCAACAAGAAATGTTGAGCTCATAGCGTGTGTGCAGTTTAAAGTATTTGAAAAATTTACCAGTGCTTATCATATGAGAAATCATGTTATTAATTATTCATAATGTATACATGAAAGATACACATTCACAGGAAATCAAAAAACTGATGGCAGATAAATTTGACAGTAATAACTACATGAAGTGTGCCATCAAAATTTGTCCTTCAGCTGAATTCTTACTCAGGAATGCAATTTTGTTAGTGTTTATCATTATACATAAAAGTATTCAAGATTTTGTTTATTTTTGTCAGCTACTGCATGTATCAATCAGAACAACCTACTTTGTGTAAATCTGATTGGTTTCTACTGTGATCTATTGTTGCTGAGCCTAGTTTATATTATTTTGTACATGAGTTATTACTTTTTCACAAATGATAAATGAAAGGCACCTAGCTATTTTCAGCCAATCAAAAAAGAGTAATTTTTCATGTATATCAGTATTGTGATGAATTCACCAAACCAAACAAGTAACTGAAAAAGAGTTGTAGTCTACCAAATAAAGGCCTAATACACATGTATTGCTACCAAGTATAGATACCAATGCTTATCTGAACCATTATGAAGAGCTTGAAGGAAGTCATGAAATGTTAAATTCTGAATAATTCTGGCCATAGCTTGGAAAACATAACACTAATCACATTTCAGTTAACATTAAAGCACTAGGCTCCTATTCATATTTTAATAAAAGCAAAACCACTTTGTCACTGAGTTTCAATGGATTACTCTCCAAAGTTTGGAATCAATCACAATAGACATTTAGCACCATGTTAATGACAAACCGCAGTCTCAGGTTAGGCATTAGACGTTTGTGACTTTTATTGGTTTAGCTATGTAAACATGAAAGTATAATTTCATTTAAAGAGGCCGTCAAATTGAATTTCCAGACAACAGCAGTGTTTGATTTTCTTATGGCAACAAAAAAGTCCTATTTTCACACACTGGCTAAAAATTGGTTATTCTATTCGTATTAGATGACATGTAATGCCATGGGTGGCAGGGTGTTCTGCAGTTTAACCTAAATTTTATCTTAGCATGTACTAAAAAGACTCGTTAAGTAATTTTCTTACTGAGCATGTGGTATAAACATAAACTCAGGATAAAAAACGCTCCGGTAAATGACTTACGTGAAATGTGACCGCACATAGAGTCAATAACGACTCCTAAGTTTCAATGTGGCACGACCTGCATTAAAGGTCCAGACCATGAAATGTTGGCCTGTGAGAGCACAATTCCACGCTGTAATCCGCACTTAGAAGACAAGCCGACTGTAGGAAAGCCGACGTGTGAAATCTAAGCAACAAAGATTAACGAAAAACTAGATAAAAAAACGATCTTCAACAGCGTGTTACAGCCACCATTGCAAAATGGTCGCTTTCTGAAGCTTTGACGCTCAGGTAACTTAGCCTGGCATAGACTGGAACCTATCTTCGACGATAGTAAACCACGTGACAAGCGCTCTGTTCACCGTGACAAATCCAGCCAGGAATAACTAAATATCTTCGATCATGACATAGCGTGGTTTACAATTCGTGTAAGCCACACAAAAACGAACAAGTCGTCCAGCAACGACCAAAGGGAAAAAAGATGAAAACTTCTCTACAAAAAACAAACTGTTATCAAGACATAGCTGAGTAGTTGCAACCGGAAGTGATATTCGCAAAACACCTGGCCTGTAGGGAAATTTCTCAGAAAAGCACCGGATGCTTATTTGTGATATTTAAATATGCTTCCATCAGCGCTTTTTTACTTGTAGGAAATTTCAGGAAATACACTGAAGAGAAAGCGTCGTAACATTGATCCTTGTTGGAAAAATGAGTGAACAGAATTCACGTCTAAACACAATCCTAAATCGTGTTACTAATAAGATTGTGCAGCTTCGTCGAGACAGAAAAACGGAAGCCTTAGAATGCTGGGAACCTATAGTGAATGGAATTTTAGAATATGTGCAAACTAAAGATCGCCGATTTCGCGCTCTTCACATCTTTCCTACAGGAAGCTACTATGAAAGGGCCAAAGTAAAAGAGCCCGATGAATTCGACCTTATGTTGGTCATGGATAACTTAGAACTAGATGACGCACCATTTGAAGAAGACGATGGGTTTCGCGAGCCACCAATCGGTAAGATTAGGCCTGTTTAGGCATTGGCTTTTCATGAGCAAGACTTGATTCAAGTTTGGACCGAATCAAATTCCAAGAAGTGTGCCGTTTCAGTAATACAGTTCCAGGAAATATTCTTAAACTTTGTCATAATTCAGGATTTGGTTAGAGAAATATAAATTTCGGTTTCTGATTCATATACACTAAAGCCGTTCCAAAACCGTATTAAATGTGTGAAAATCGGCCGACCAAGCACAACAATAAGAACGACCCAGCTGTTCCAAATTTGATAAGTCGTTCTTGGCGATTGAGAAGCCGAACTTTTAACTGACCCAATTGAAAAGTTGGAGGTTGAAACCGCATCAATTGCAGGGCTTGATCATTCACTCAGTTCCGCCATAATTACGTCTTGCAAAGAAAAATGTACGATGTGGACATGTATGATTTAAAATAGGGGGAAAAGCCTAGATGACTCTGAGCTGGGAATCGACATTATTACCAATGAAAAATTCTTGAAAGGAGGTGAATTTTAAGGGTTACATTAAGGCATAGGGGTAAGTCATCTTTACAGGTTGTCAATTTGGTCGATACCTTGCTCTTTATGAAATCCCTAGATTTTCCCAAGACAAGGAATTTTTCATGGCTGACAATCAGCTTATGATACACATGTCAAGACGAGCAATATATTCATGTACCATCAAGGTAATAGATATTAGCAACAAATTATCAAGTCCATAACGACCATGTCCTCTCAGCCACAAGGTTCTTATGAAAAAGTCCTCTTTTTAAAGAAGTATCACCTAAACTCAACCAGATTAATGAGGGTCAAGTTGTTTTACTCCCTTTCAGTATTTCTTCTGTTCTAAGTCCTATTGATCAAAAGACCACAATATTGACTAATTGTAATAAAATACAAGAGTATGATCAAGTTGTTTTTGACCCTGGAAATAAGTCTGGTGAATAAAAGGCAACAACCAAAAGCCATGCAGGTTGAGGGGTATTTACCACTATAATGATTGACAATGGTGAAGAAGTAACTTTGGGAATTGAATGCCTCACAGGTGAAAGCAGTTTTTAAAGGGCTTGTGAAAAATGCCATCATAGAAAAGTCCCTTTAGGGAAAATACATAATTAATATGTTGACTAGTGAGAAATGACCACTGGAAATAAGTTTTTAAATGTCAAACCATGCAGGGGAAAAATTTGGGCTTTTTTAATAAGGATGGGCCAACACAGTTTTTAAATGTCAAACCATGAGGTTTTGGTATGGAAGTAAAATTCATTCACTCACTCCATTCTCATTAATTCATGTATTAGATGTGGATATAACACATTTTCCCTGCCTCCCTTACTAGGTTTGGTTCTATCCATGAAGTCTGGTAACTGTCTTCTGTTCATATATCCAGGGGGTAGGATGTAGGTGTAAATTTCTCCCTGAGTGCATGGAATGATCAACTTATTTCAAAATGGCATTATTACGCTAAAATTATTAAGGTGGTTTTCCTTTCCTTCTGCTCCATTCCTGATCAAAAAACATCCAATAAGAGGAAATGTGTGAAAGAATACTCAGCTGGAAAGAATAGGGCTTAAAAAAATTGAAATTGACAATGAGAACTGTCCTGTGAATTGTTGATGTTGAAATATAACTAGGTTAGGGGTTAAGGTTAATCAGAGCAAGGGTGTGTCTTCATCTTGCCTGCTTTGTACAAAGGCAGCCACCCTGATATAGAATATATCATAACAAAATGTTTTAAAGGATCATAGTGGGACATTAATTAAGGCTGGCTGAAAAGTATCCTAATGTTTTAATAATTCTGGAATTTTAGGAATGTTGCTGTTAAGTCTGAAGGCCCAGCAGTGACCTTGAAAATAACTAGCACAAATAAAAGAGAATATTCTATTGATTTGACACTTGCCATCAAGGAGAAAACCTGGCCAGAAGATGCTGAAGAATGGACAACAAGGTGCAGAAATGGTAATATCACTTTTGACACCTTAACTTACTGAGTGGCCATTTTAAAAGAAGTCAATTTCATGAGCCAAAGTTTAAGAATCAGAAAAGCTTTATATACCAATTGTTTGTCATCTGCTGGCACTGATTTCTGTCAATTTGTCAACCATTCAAAATGATTGAAAAAAATTATAACTATCATAGAACTTAAGTAAAAAAATATAATTTGAAAAGTTTTGCTCAAGCACCTAATGAATTTTTATTGGTATTGAAAGACAGTTCTTAAAACATGCATTGAAATCAGTTACACTTAAACATCCACAGAGATTCTTTCATTAAAATATACAGGGAAGTGCTTCTTAGCTACTGGTTCCCAATATTGTAGCAGGAAATATGTGGTGAAAGACTGTATTATTCTAGCTGTGCAAGTTATCTTTCAGGAAAGTTTTTAACACCGGCTGTTTTATTTTTAACTTATGAAAAGGTTGGCCCAATTGGAATCTTGTGGAAGATATTTGCAGAGAGGGATGTCATCTGGTAGCTAAGAAACCAAAGGGGTACAACATTGCTGACCAAGAGAAACAATTCCTGTGGCGTTACTCATTCTCAGCAGCTGAAAAGAAGCTGTTCCTTCAAGGTGGGCAAGGTGAAGCCAGCTCTTGTCGAAAGCAAGTTCTCCGAATAGTGAAAGCTCTTCGGGAAGAACTTAACCTAAAGCCACTGAAGTCATATCACCTAAAAACACTCCTATTGTATGAGTGCGAGTCCCACCCTGAGGCCTCAAAGTGGAGACAGACTACCTTGTGTGATCGATTTTTGGGCCTCCTTAACAGGTTGGAATGTTGTCTGCGCTCAAAGAAATGTGCCCATTATTTTATTGAAGATTTAAATTTGTTTGAATCGTTCAACCACCAAGAATGCATGAAATTGGCTGATAGAGTGTGGAAAATTATACAGCAACCAGAGCAAGTGCTTAATGAACTCCTTAAGAAATACCAGATGGCATAAAATGAAACTAAACAAGCTACACCGATTTACTGCTTGTCTAACACATCCTCATAATGGGTCAATTTAGAATAATTATGTGCAATCATCTTTTGTACAACTACAGCACTGATCATTGTTAGTTCATAACTAGAAACATTGATAACTTCTTTAAGAATTGACAGTCCTAGACACATCTTGTAGCAAGTTTTAAATACTGTCACATGTTTTATTAACAAAGATTTGAAGTAATTAAAAATGCATAATATTTGACATGTTCAACTAGGGTTGCAAACAGATGATGCTGCTAGCACTAATCACAAGCAAGAGCTAGTATTTCTTGTTTGACCTCAGTGCCAAAGGCCACGATAAGGTCTAGGAAAAAATGTCTTTAATGTTTGGGAAAATTCAGGCAATTTTGCTAAGAGGCATGCAAAATTTGTCTTTTAAAGAAGTCAGGGGAAAGTGAAATCTCAAAGGTAAACTCATTCATCTTGTCTTGGCTTTTTCATGATCAAAGATCCTAACACAAACTTTTGGAGTTTCCAGAAAAGATTCATCCTTTTCCATGTATCATTAGAGAGCTATCATTAATTGTGTGCTGTATGCATAATCAGACAGGTGGAGAGGGTAGAGGCCATCGTTAGGACTAATTTGTGAAGGTGTTCATTCAGTTGGTTGCAAATATTTTAAGGAACCAAGGATATCCAAATAACCAATTTCGCAGGCAAATATGTTTAAATGCATGGATTAACATGGTATGGCGAAAAAGATGCAAATATCTTTCAAAGGTTTGGGAATAAACAGTATTTGAAGGGGGGATTAGAATGTACATGTGTGTGTATTCCCTTAGGGAGGTTAGGGTTAGGAACCTTAGATTTGCCAAGGAAACATGAATAGGAAAACAAATTTTTGGCTAGGGGCTTTCAAAATTCAATTCTTACAATGTTTCTATGGCAAATCAGAGTTTCCTTGTTCCATTGCTAATGGAACTTAACTTTTAAAACATTCTTTGTTCTATGAGAATAAATGTGCACATTCCCAAAATTGTCTCCTAAAATCCCTGAGGAACATTAAAATTAATCCCATTCCAAATGAAATGTAAAAGCAGTAGGAAATGGCAAAATCAATTGAACATTTAAGATTGTCATGCAACTGCTGGCAACATCTGAATTATTCACCAATTCTGGTGTAAAACTTCATATACCTGATTTCTTCAATGTTGGAAAGTCACGTTTACCGTAATCACTGATCAGATTTCTTTCCTCACACATTTCTGTGTGATTTCCTCCGAATCATAAGAATTTTGAGAGTTGAGCATTTATAAGAGTTTCAAGGTGTCAATATGCACCCAACACTATAACAAGAGGTAATCAGCCATCAATACATGAAATGTGCTGTTGGTTAGTCTGACAACTTGTTCAGTAACTTAACCCTTTAAGTCCTAGTAGTGACCTGGAGAGAATTTCTCTTTACACTATCAGTACAATGACAAGCCGACAAGTGATGAGAATAAAGAAGAATATCAACTAGGGGATCATCGGTTGATCCAATTCCAAATTCTCTGAACTAACATGACATGCATTGTATGGCAGACAGTAAGGAGAATTATTGATGAAATCTTAAGGGTTAACACCTGATTCACTCTGTTTCTAGACCACTGAATGAAAGGAGGCACCTGTTCATGTTCAGTCTTTTACTCTCTAAATCCATCTCCAAGTTCAAACAACCACCAACATTTTACATATTTAGGGTCAGTGCACGTACTTTCCCTAACAAAACACCATCTGTCTGCGAGGTCCTTTCCAATCAAAGTAAAATCTGTTGGTAAACTCTTTTGGAATGTGAACATGACAACTAATTCTTGGTTTAGGAAAAACCTCACTCCTGATCTGCTCCATTTCCAAACCTTCTTCTTTACATTTGACAACCCACACCATAAGTTTCTTGAGATCGATAGCTAATTTAGAATGCAGAGTTCTTTCAGGTGTGTTGATGATGTAATTGTCAAGTCCACCAGCTTTGTCAATACATCTCAGGGCAGGCACACTGACCTTCAGTGACAAGTCTTGTTCCAACACTTGACTGTAAAATTTCTTTTCAAAGACATTTGGCTTCCATACTCATGGAGTTCTTAGTAAAATGATAATAGGTAAAACATATTTTAGTTAAAAGGTTATAAATCGTACAAATGTTCTCACAAGTCACCTCTTCACTAGCTATTTAGGCAACTGCAACGATATTCAATTATTTTTATTCTATATTATACTCAATTTAGCACGAGGTTAGTAACTATGTTCAACATTCAACTTTAAGTCAAGGTTACTATTTTTAGAACCCTTGCTTGATTCATTCTCATACAGGTGCACAATCATGCCAGGATTATGCTTTGAATTTAAGTTTTGATTTATTTAATATGTAATAGAGCTTACTTTTTTCCAGACCATGTTGTTCTGTAGCCAAACACATAAGTTTCTCCGTGGTAAAGACCTTTATGTGGCGCTTCGCGAGACCCTTTCAATGGAGCACGTCCTTTTGCTTTCTGTGCGACCGTCCTTCCAAAGAGTAAGAAGCATAGGCCAAGGCGCACCATGATAAAGAAGAATTTGCCTATTTCATATGAGTGATCAGCCGATGACAAGGCGTTTACTGCGCAGGTGTGAAGGCGTTTCGCTACTATACATGACGGATACACAACAAACTGTGAGCTCATACGTTAGTCCGCTAACGTATGAGAATGTATGCCGTAGTAGACTCGTCGATGGTGTTTTGGCGCCAACCTCCATTAGCACGTCTGCACTCTTTAGTCTGTCTTTTAATTTCCGGTTAGCAGTCCGCGGTCTGTGTTTTACACTGACCGGGATCGCATTACCACTTTACTTTGCCAAATTTTGATTGACAAAAAATTAAATTGAAAGGTTCTAAGTAACATTTTCTCTTATATTTCGCCACAAATCCACTCAACATTCATTTATTACTTAGTTCATTAATGTGGTTCGACAAAGGGATTCATACGAAGTCAGGAAAAATGCAAAACTAACTCAGCTCAGGATTTTATTCAACACTCAACGGAGGTTAAGAGCAATACTGCAGAAGCAATTAATTAATTTGTTTTACACATGTACTGTTCCCCTGTAGTAAAGGTTAATGGAGTAAAGGAGACGTATTAATGCTATAAATCTTTAAGCAAATATTAAAATATGTCTCGCAAAGCAAAACCAACTCAAGTCTGGGTTTTATTCAACACTTAACTGAACCTTGCCTTTAAGGCTAAGAGTGATTAGACTGCAGAGGGAGTTAATATGTTTTACATACAGTGTACATGTAGGGTTGCCCTGTATAGTAAAGTAATGCAGTAATGGAGGAGTGTTAATTTTATAAATCTTGGAGCAAATATTAAACTATCTCTCTCTCTTGTAGTCTTCGAAAAATCTACAAGTGCTTATTACACCAAATTGTGAGAGAAATAATGTTATTACTTGTTAATAATGTATATGTGCCAATTTATGCGCTTTTGTTTTCAGCCTAAACATGTGCTGAAACTTGTATCAGAAGCTAGTTATGTGTACAGTACTGTGATATTTTGACTGGATCTTTCTATTTTACATGAATTTAGAATGCCGCTGCAATTTAACTGGAACAGTCAACAGTTCCAATGTGTGCAACGAGATAACTGGTCAGTGCCCCTGTAAACAGCTACTCACAGGAAGGACATGTGACCAGTGCCAAGTGAGTCTACTATTTCATGTGCAAATATTTTTTTATTATAAGAATAAGCAAACTGATGTCCACAAAAACAGTTGTAAAAAAAGGTTTGCCTGTTTTATGTACTGTGGAGCTATATAATTTTGAATTCTGGTTAAGGCAGGGAGAGGGGGGCACTTTTTTTAAGGAGGGATTCATTTGAAGGGAGGTGCAAGTTCAAGTACTTTCTGAACAGAAGTAGTTTGATAACTGAAAAATAACACATTTTACACATAGGATGGATACTTTAGATTGACATCTGAAAACCCTGGCTGTACTGCATGTTACTGTGACCTAGCTGGCTCAGTAAATACCTCATGTCCTTCATACGGGAGATGTTACTGCCGCCCAAAGTTCTCCGGGGAGAAATATGACAAGATTGATGAGGGCTTCTTTGCCCCAAGTGTAGATTTTATGACATTTCAGGCTGAGGATGCTACACCCATAACTGTAAGAAATGTTAATCATTATTCTGCATGCTGCTGTGTGTCTAAATAATGAAGATTGTTTACATTTAGTGAAAGTTAGGACCTAACAGGAAATTAAATTTTGATCAGTTGGAGCACTAATTCATCAAATGGTTTGGAAACAATCTCTCAACTATTTTCATCTATTTTATGCCTGTAAAGCAGATTAATATTGTTGTTTAGTATTCTTGTGATTTCTTCCCTCACCCTTGATAAGTGAAGAATGTTGTGTGAAATGAGCAAGCTGAGACCAAATAAGTCACAGTAAGGCTGAAGCACCTCTCTTCACTGTTTGGATGGCATGAAAAATCAAGGCAAACAAAGGAAATCTCTACTATGAGCAGTGTGTCTTATTCGGTGTTCTGATTACCATTTTTAACTACACATTGCAAGAGCAAAGGGAGGAGGAAGTTCTCTTTCTGAAGCTGTGTGGGTCCCCCAGGAAGACTATGTGCTTAGTCACAATGGAGCAGGTGGATTTAAGGCCATGAATGACCATTTGGTCTCCTTGTTTATTCTGCTACAGTAGAGATGACTCTAGACTTTAGGGATTGAAACATCTTTGTTACAACTGTGTAAAAGTTGTTGCTGCGTAAGGGTCCTTGCTCTCAGCTCCAACAAAAACCTTGATGTTATTAAAGATAATAAGGTTTTTCTTGCTGCACAGTATATATTAAGTGCTGGTAATCCTTGTTCAGAGAAACTTTGTGGTAGACTCGGCTCATGTTTGGATTTTTTAATGTTGATTTTGAAAGATTCTTTAATGGAAAGGGGTTTTCAATCATGGAATTGAAAATTGAAGAGTATTTTTCAATCAATTTAGTTATTAATCCTACTAGCTGTCACTAATTTCAAAATTTTTTTTTTTTTTTTGCACAGCCACAAGCAAAAACAATCAGTCATCAAGAAGTTGTTAATGCAGCTGGAAACAATGTTCTTATGGTTGGTGTGGTATTGAATGAGGGAATGAATAATTCTGCACCAACTGAGCTGGAGTTCACTGTCAACATTCCCAAAACAGGATATTTTAATTTTGTCCTGCGTTACATGGTGAGATGTTCCTCCCTTGGGCAAGATATCATCATAAATGATTATTGTTCATTAAATTGAAAATAGTCTTAGTTTTTTACTCATTTACCAAAACTCAGTAGTATGGAAGGGGTGTTTGTTTCATCCTGTGGACCTGAGAGGCTCAAATTAAAAGTTTTTGACAGATTTTTATAGAATGCCTAAATTATTATTATTATTATTATTTTGATCAGCATTTTGTATTTTGCAGACTGGTTATAACTGGAATTTGGTTAAGATAACTGCTTTGCTGCGGACAGCCTTTGTGCCCTTCACATGCAACAACATTAATCAAATCACTAAGAAGGAGCCTCTTATCCTGACTGGGACAGTGTTGTCTGGAAGTGAAGCTCATGATTATGGAAGTCACTGTTTATTAGCGGGTCAGTACAGTGTAAAACTTCAAATACCTTCTGGAAGTGCTCAACAGGGTTTTCTGGTCACTGGAAGGAAAAGAAGGGCATTGTATAATGCAGACATCATCGTTGACTCTGTAAGTTACTATTCATAATCTTCAACTTGTTGCTATGACTGTCGCAAGATAAATATTCTCTGTTAGCTTGTTTGGATGCTGAAGTGGGCTGAACATCACTTTTTCCTTGATATTTGGGTTTCATACTACAAAGTAAAGTACATCTAAATCATAGAAAGCTACCTTGCTGTATATGTAAGTGCTATGGGCTATCTGGAAAGCAACTTAGTTTCTGATAATTGGGACAAATTTTAATTAGTCTCACCAGAACTCAGAGTTTTTTTCTTAGGAGACACATCATGACCTAGTTATTGGTGCTCTGGAATCTTGATTGATGCTGATTCAGGTTGAAACCTTGGTCAGGGTAACTGTGTGGTTTTCTTAGCCAGGTTACATATACATAATGAAGATAAATAGCTAGAATGAAGTATATTTACTTACTATCCCATCAAGGAGGTTTGATAATAGGACAGTGCAGAGCAGCAGCAAAACAAACAAAACAGTTCACATTTGCAAAGAGTTCAAGACCTAAGGAATTGACTTAGACAACAACATGGCCAACATGATGTTATGTGAAAACCATCTCCATTATAAGGCAACCACAAAAACTAGTAGATCATTGTAAATAGAATAAGAGAGATGGTAATTTTTGAGCCCGTTAAAGAGACAGAGAAATATGTTTTTTGTCCTGTCACAAATGTGGGACAAAGAAAAAATTCTGAGTCCCTATGAGGAATCAAACCTCAGACATTCAGATACCACACTCCAATGCTCTACTGCTGAGCTACAGAGACTTAATGGTGAGCAAGGTCTATTACAAAGTTCTTATGATACATGTGCTGCATACCGCTAGGATCAGCAATGTTGGTAGAGTCATGTTTGTAAATAAAATAAGAGAGATGGTAAGTTTCGAGCTTGGTAAAGAGACAGGGAAAGATGTTTTTTTTATTTTTTCTTTGCTCCACACTCGTGAAAAGACTAAAAACATCTTTCTATATCTCTTTACCAAGCTCAAACCTTACCATATCTCTTATTCAATTTTCAAGCATGACAAGCTGTCGACATTACTGATCCTAGCAGTATGCAGGACACATGTCATATGAACTTTGTAATAGACCTCACTCACCATAGAGTCTCTGTGGCTCAGTAGTAGAGCATTGGAGCACAGAATCTGAATTCCTCATGGGGACTCAGAATTTTTTCCTTGTCCTGCGCTCGTGACAAGACAAAAAACATCTTTCTCTGTCTCTTTACTGAGCTCAAAACTTACTATCTCTCTTATTCTATTCACAAACATGATGCTATCAACATTGCTGATCCTAGTATTGTTTAGGACAGGTGTCAAATGAACTTTGTAATAGACCTCCCTCACTGTAGTCTCTGTGACTCAGTGGTAGAGCATCAGAGCACAAAATCTGAATTTCTCATGGGGACTCAGAATTTTTTTATGTTTGTCCCATGCTCGTGACAAGACAAAAAACATCTTTATCTCTTAAATGAGCTCAAAACTTACCATTTCTAGTATTCTATGTACAGAAATGATGGGGCTGTCCTAGTGTACCGGTACACGGGGGAATTCCTATTGTTTTCATATCCATACATGGAGTTGTGACGCAGTTCGTTAATGTTTCGTTCCTTTGTGTACCGGTACACGAGGACACAACCGAAATGATATTATCGACATTGCTGATCCTAGCAGTGTGCAGGACGTGTGTCATACTGAACTTCATAATAGACCTTCACTGTAGTCTCTGTGGCTCAATGATAGAGCATTGGAGCAGGGAATCTGAAGGTCTGAGGTTTGATTCCTCATGGGGACTCAGAATTTTTTCTTTGTCCCATGCTCGTGACAAGATGAAAAGCATCTTTCTCAAGTAGATAAT